GGCTAGAGGTAAGAAAGAGTAAGATAGCTGGATTAAAGTTTGAACTCCAAAAAAATCGATCCTACTAAAGGCTGAGTTTTGGTTGAGAAAGAAAGATTGGGGGGAAAGAGATGAGTCAGAGATGGTGAATGATGAATGATGGAGGGTACACTCAAACCTTCATCAGTTTGGCCTCAAAGAAAAGAATGGTCATTATGTCGGTCTCTATAGGGGATTGATGGGTGGACATGAATGGATGATGTGGACACACGAGAGCACGCCATCACAAAACCCTCTTTCAACTCATCCAATGAGCATCGCAAATGAATTTCAAGACTTTCGGCTTTGTATTCAATCATTAATTGAAAAGAACTTGAGAGCTTGAGAGCTTGAGAACTTGAGAACTTAAGAACATAAGAACTTGAGAACTTGAGAACTTGAGAACTTAAGAACTTTGAAAAGAACTTGAAAGGTTTGAAGGTTTGAAGGTTTGAGAGAATTCCAGAATGGAGGATTGAGGTTAGGATTGATTTTGAACTCACCAATTCTGTCTCAAGCTTAACGTCTTCGTTTGTAATGTTTGTTTCGTTTGTTTGTTCGTTTGTAATGTTTGTTTCGATGAAGGAAAAGTTATAGCATGAATCGCGAGTTGATCTGAATGTCAAGTAAAATCTGATCAATTTTAAAGAACAAACCTTTCTTGATCAATGAGTCCTTTCTCAGCGAGTTCTTCAATAGTTCTTGGGAGAAGAGAATCTCGATGTTTTTCTCTTAAACCAATCACAATTTCATTTGTGCATCCATCCCATGATGGTACCAATGAGGAGAGCAATGAAAGACTGAAATTTTAATTTCTTTTTATTGAAATTTTAAATTTATAAGGTGATTATGATTTGATAAAGAGAATAAATGAATAGAAAAGATGTTTACAATGACTGGGAAGATTGGGGGGAGTATGGCAGCATTGTGACTATTTGCCAATGATCGAGAAAGGTGAAAGAGAAGTGGGCGAAAGTGGGGGCAACGATGGGAATCCACCATGGCTTCTCAGGTCGATAGAGCTTTCGGAAAGGTGAAAGAAGTGGAAAGGGACAAAAAAAAATCAGTCCGGATCCTGCAAAAGAGATGTTTGTTTGTCTAGGTGGAGAATGGGGGAGAGGAAATAGGCGGATGCGCACACGGCAAAGCCCTTTTCCAACCATCTCTTTCTCGCCATCTCACCATTTCTGTCTTGATTTCTATAATGGTAAATGTTAGAAAGATGAATGTTCCGGGTTTTAGAGTCTGCAGAATCAAATCTTCTAGCAGAATCAAATCTTCTGCAGAATTCCCATCGTTGCCCCCACTTTCACCCACTTCTCTTTCACCTTTCTCGATCATTGGCAATACTTGTTGGCTAGTTCTGGAGAAAGAATGATAAAGAATGTCCAAGCCAGGCCTACCATTAAACAGAAAAAGTTTTTGAACAAATTTGCTAAGAAATTTTCTATAGTATTTTCTATAGTACTTAATAGCAACAAATTGTAAGTAAATTAAAAGCTTTAATCCAAATCCAATTTTGCTTTAATCCAATAGAAATTTAAATAGTATTAGAGTAGCTTATTCAACCCTCTCTTTGATGATGAAAAATTCATTTCGAAATCCAATGACAATAAATAAGAAGAAGGGAATGGCAAGGGAATGCCGAGGGAACGATTATATAAGCGAAAAGGCTTAGAACAGGGTTTATCCGTTATTCGGCGAGAGAGGCGCGTGGCAACGAACGGGACCATAGTTGAAAGCAGACCGGCTTTAGGGTGGGAAGAGGAAGAAAGTATTTGGCACACTGGGGCACACCCAACAAAGGGAACTACCCCCAATTGACAGCCTGCCTTTCTAGCTAGGAGTCATTCATACAGACACCGCTTGAGTGCATCCACCTGGCCTTTTCTCGGCAAAACCCAAATCATCACTAAAAATTGATTGCTGAATGGATAAACAAGAATTTTCAAGCTATAAAAGGATAAAGGGAAGAATTGCAAAAATTGCTGGTAATCTGGTAGCTGGTAATCTGGTAGCTGGTAATCTGGTAGCTGGTAATCTAGTAGCTGGTAATCTAGTAGCTGGTCATCTAGAGTAGCTGGTCATCTGGTAGCTGGTAATCTAGTAGCTGGTCATCTAGTAGCTGGTCATCTGGTAGCTGGTAATCTAGTAGCTGGCAATCTAGTAGCTGGTCATCTAGTAGCTGGTCATCTAGTAGCTGTAATCTAGTAGCTGGTCATCTAATAATTTTTTTAATTTTTTTTTTTTTTTTTTTTTTTTTTTTTAAATAAAAAAATTAAAAAATAAATTTAATTTTTTTTTTTTAAAAAATTTTTTTTTTTTTTTTTTTTTTTTTTTTTTTTTTTTTTTTTTTTTTTTTTTTTTTTTAAAAAAAAAAAAAATTTTTTTTTTATTATAAAAAAAAAAAAAAAAAAAAAAAAATAATTTTATTTTTTTTTTTTTTATTTTTTTTTTTAAATTTTTTTTTTTTTTTTTTTTTTTTTTTTTTTTTTTTTTTTTTTTTTTTTTTTTTTTTTTTAATTTTTTTAATTTATTTTTTTTTTTTTTTTTTTTTTTTTTTTTTTTTTTTTAAAAAAAATTTTTAAAAAAATTTTTTTTTTTTTTAAATTTTTTTTTTTTTTTTAAAAAAAATTTTTTTTTTTTTTTTATAATTTTATTAATTTTTTTTTTTTTTTTTTTTTTAAAAAAAAAAAAGGTAGCTGGTAATCTAGTAGCTGGTCATCTAGTAGCTGGTCATCTAGTAGCTGGTAATCTTTCAATTCTTTAAGTGATAGAAACTCGTAAGATCTACTAGAATCTAATAGAATACTACAAGTAGTACATGTTTTAAGATGTTATTGTGCTTCGGATGTGTACAGCGAGGGTGTCTGGAGACTAATTGGTAGTGGATAATCGAATAATTCGAGTGTTTGGACCCCTTCCCCCCCGGATAAACACCCCTAATTTCCCCCCCGCTAAGTGCAAAAGGAAAAGAAAACATCAATGCTAATTTGTGGAATGACAATGAGTCTAAAGAGTAGCCAAGAAAGCTGTCAAATAACAGTTTTAACTTTCAAAACTTAAATCTATTAAAGAAGATAGGTACTACTATTGCCGATTTTGGCTTGTTGACGGAGAAAGGTCAAGTGGAGAGTGACATAAGATGGGGGGAAATGTCAAAACACTTGGCTCTCCCATTTACTCGGTTGATTGGGGCCAATTGAAAATTTTGAGAAAAGAGTCAACTCTGAAGTTGAACTTAGAATGACACCAAAGTCATTTTGCTTAACCCTACTTAAATCTTGATTTTGAAAGCTCACCATTTCTCAGCCGGTTCCTCATCACTGTCAACCTCTTCCTCGAAAAAGTCTTCATCTAAAGTTTTGTGTAAGAGCTAAATCTAGATTTAAATTTAGATTAAATGGAACCAAATTTAGAGAGATAAGCAACCAAATTCAGATAGATAAAGAGCCAAATTTATCGAGATAAGGAACCAAATTTAGATAGATAAGGAACCAAATTTAGAGAAAAATGGAACCAAATTTATAGATTAGATAATCTAGATCTAAATCTAGATCTAAATCTAGATCTAAATCTAGATCTAAATCTAGATCTAAAACTAAAAGAAGTCTTTTATCTATCTACACGCCCATCTCTAAATGCTTGAAAACCTTTTACACCAAGAATTGAAAATTACCTTTTACACCAAGAATTGGTAGATCAACTTCAGCAGCACAGTCTTCAAAGTCGTCCATTCTCTAAATTTCCGAATGGAAAAGTTAAATCCAATTTCTGCATTGAAACAAAAATAGAATCAGAATGGAATGCAAAAATGCAAATTTTCTTTGCCGACGAGAAGTGTGAGGAGGAAATCCATTGGTTGGTCTTTCCCCTTGCAACCATCCCCCCACTTCCCCGCTTTGCATATTAGCTGATTAGCGCGGACACTTTTTTCCCCCTTTTTCCACTAACTGACCACTGCCAAAATGATGCCAAAACGGTGAAAACAGCGTCTTTTTTTTCTTTAGTCACCAATTTCTTTCCGCTTTTTGCGCCTAACACTAACGAAGGCAAAAAAAAAGAGAAAAAGAGAAAAAGAATATTATTTTCTAAAGAAATAAAGACGCTATGCAATAGATTAGATAGATTTCAGCGTCTAAAAGCGTTTCACGAGTTTGTAAGATTGAAATGAAATCGAAATGATGCTTGGAGATTGGTGTGAAATCCCCGGGCAACTCTGTTCCTTTCGAAAGGATGATGGAGAATTGCATTCGAGGCAAAGAGTCAACCCCAACAAATACCAAGAAGGGAAGGCACCAATGCTTCTTTCTTAGGCTCATTGAAGGAAAAAGGGGCACTAAGGGCTCACTGGATCCCCAGTTGTACCCCATAGGGCTTCCCTCACAATCGTCTTTCTCTTGCTCTCAAAAAGAAGCGATAATCTCCCTCAGGACCCACAATCGTATAGTTTCCGGCCGAGTGCGTGTCACGCATTCCATCACTAATTTCAATCCGTTTTTATTTCCTTTTCCGGAGAGTTCAAGGGTAATAGAACGGGAAAACATTCAGAGCTGTGAAATTAGTGAAGCTAGATGAACAGCAAGCACAATTTCAATCACGTTCTTGGGGCAGGATCTTGGGCCAGGCCAGGATGATTTAAATCTTGAAATTAGTTGGTTGATGAGAACAAAGTAACTGGTCTCTTCCAAAACAAAGTCAGTCTATTGCCAAATTTGTCATCAATTGGGGAAACGATCAAAGTCTTGTATCATCTGGTTTAATTTCTGCTTTTGCAAACCATTTCCCAACAAAAACATTTGTATTTTTGATGATACTACAGAAGAAATGTGAGTTTAAACCTTATTTTTTTTCTGCTAAATTCTTGATTCTGTCATTATGAAGGCAAAAAAAAAAATGAATGTAAAACATAGAAGAATCATCGAGTCTAAACATTTCACTCGAGTCAATCGTTGAGAAAAATTTCTCTTTCTTTCAAAACGATGGGCTTTTTAGAGGTGAATTTTTTTATATTCTAAAATTACTGTAACCATTTAACACATTCGCGACGAGGCGTTTTTTTGCCTTACTGCCCCAGTGGACGAGGGGTGTCTCGCAAAGCTATTAGCCCCGAAATACACCCCCTATATGTAAGATTTCATACTGAATCCGAATCTCTAATCATATTTTGAAAATATTGCTGCCTCAAAAAGAACTAATCGAATCATTTTACATTTTGAAATTATCTTAAAAAGTTGAGAAGTTATAGCGCGTGAAAAATTTCGTCCATCGGTGGACCGAATTGTCCCAGGGGCCAGACGGCCTTCGTCCACCGGTGGACCGAATTGTCCCAGGGGCCAGACGGCCTTCGTCCACCGGTGGACCGAATTGTCCCAGGGGCCAGACGGCCTTCGTCCACCGGTGGACCGAATTGTCCCAGGGGCCAGACGGCCTTCGTCCACCGGTGGACCGAATTGTCCCAGGGGCCAGACGGCCTTCGTCCACCGGTGGACCGAATTGTCCCAGGGGCCAGACGGCCTTCGTCCACCGGTGGACCGAATTGTCCCAGGGGCCAGACGGCCTTCGTCCACCGGTGGACCGAATTGTCCCAGGGGCCAGACGGCCTTCGTCCACCGGTGGACCGAATTGTCCCAGGGGCCAGACGGCCTTCGTCCACCGGTGGACCGAATTGTCCCAGGGGCCAGACGGCCTTCGTCCATCGGTGGACCGAATTGTCCCAGGGGCCAGACGGCCTTCGTCCATCGGTGGACCGAATTGTCCCAGGGGCCAGATGACCTTCGTCCATCGGTGGACCGAATTGTCCCAGGGGCCAGACGGCCTTCGTCCATCGGTGGACCGAATTGTCCCGGGGGCTAGACGGCCTTCGTCCATCGGTGGATCGTCCCGAACGAATCGTCCCGAACGTGTTAATGGATTGTAAAAATCGAATAGCTAGATGAAAATAACTAAACTTTACGAACAATATTTCAGATTTTCTATATTTTGTGTACTGTTTTTGTGCTCTTTATCAACGTGATACCAGTCTTTTTCTTTTTCACTTATTCAGCGGTGGCGATTCTGTAAGTTGTGGGGAAAAAAAATTTCTTGATAAACACAATTGAATTTTAGCATATGTGGCGATAACAAGAGTGCAATGTGCTTTTACGATCAAAGAATGATAGGGGTTTTCTTTATTATATAGCAAAAACTAGAGTGTGTTCCTCAAAAGTAAATGCGTTTTTTTAAAAAGCACACTTACAAAAAAAATTACCGTACTTTTAGCGAAAATTATTGCAAAAAAATTCGGGGTAAGCTAATTTCCGCACTTTTTTTTTCGCAACTGAGTCGTTTGCGCAACTCGCCATAACTTTCTTCTAAGTAAACCAATCTTTATGATTGTGGCTTCATTTTGTAGATCTCAATAAGTGCAACAAAATGAAACCAACATCATAAAGATTGGTCGACTTAGAAGAAAGTTATGGCGAGTTTTACTCGAGTAATTACTCGAGTGTTTTCCTCTCGAGTAATACGTTTTCTAAAAACCACCTTATTGAGAAAAGTACCGTAGCCAAACCGTTAGTTTACATTCGATCAGCCCGTTTTTGGTATCATTGACTGAGCATTGTAATTCCTCATTGAATGATACCAAAATCGGACGAATTAAATGTAAACTAGCGATTTGAACTAGGGTACTTTTCTCAAATAAATGCATTCCAAAAAAACGCATTACTCTAGAGGAACACACTCGAGAAATCGGATTCTCCGCCTTTTTTTACCCTAAAGTCGCGAGTATAAGTTCTGTTTGGTTTTCGCATGCAAATTGACGGCTGTCTCCGGTGCGGTGTGTCGAGGGTTCGAACCCCGCTGCAGCATAACTTTTTTGCTTTTTGAGAACAATAATAGAAGTAAATTTATTGAGGGTTAGAGCAATTTTATGCTGTTATTTGTTGCTCCGGGCGTGGCTCGGCGCGTCCGCCCTGCTCCTCTCCGGTGCTCAGTCTTATGGATCCCTCCCTGGCCTCTTCATGGCCCCCCTGGCCTCTTCATGGCCCTCCCTGGCCTCTTCATGGCCCTCCCCGGCCTCTTCATGGCCCTCCCTTGCCTCTTCATGGCCCTCCCTGGCCTCTTCATCCGGCCAAAGTCCACGTCGACGGTCGAAAGAGATGCTTTCCAGCGTCTTCTTCAACACTATCGTCTGGATGTATCCATGCACATAACAAATAGCAATGGTGATAGGCTGTCACCCTGTAGTATCCCGCGCTCCAAGAACAATAATAAAAGTTTATATAACAATAAAAATGTATAAAAACCCAACAAAAAGAAATTCAAAGCAATTAAAGCGAATGTAAATTAAGGCAGAAGTTATACTCGGATGAACTTATACTCGGATGAACTTATACTCGGATGAACTTATACTCGGATGAACTTATACTCGGATGAACTTGAACTTATACTCGAGACTTTAGGGTACCCTAAAAACACAAAAAGTGGACAGAAAAAGTTAAAAACAGCAAAGAAAAAGCAAAAGCAAAAATCTAAAAAATAATTTTTTTTGCTCGTCGCTGTTTTGGGCGCTTTTGCATTGGCGCTGTTTCGGGTGGCGCTGTTTTGGGTACGGCGCTGTTTTGGGATAGACCCAAAATTACTCATGCAAATTTTACTCGAGTAATTGCTTACTCGCGAGGAACATACTCTAGTAAAAACTATTGTAACAGAGGTAAACGATAAAAAAATCCTTTTAGGAAAGCGAAACATGGCTCATTGTCTTTTTCTCGATCGCTGCCATCGCTTCATTCATCTATCTCGTTTTGTTGATTCTTTCGATTTGTGGAGCTGTAAAGAGAAAAGGCCATCTCCTCATTCCCGTTATTTTACTTTCAGTCAGTTTTATTTGGTGGTCTTTACTATTTTTCCTTTTTTTCCTTTTTTTTTCTTTAAACTTTTTAAAAATAATACCGCTATGAACAAAATTTGTATTTAAACTATGAAAAAGATTGATTGTTCCTCTGTTAAATTGCTTAGGCTTAAGCTTTACTTATAATGCTTTACATTGAAGTTCAACAAGTTCCAAGAAGTTCTTGAAAGTTGTTGTTTTTTGGATTTTCAAAGGCGCAAATTTGATCATCAAAAACTGCGCATTTTGAACACTTTCTTTAATACAAACTTATTTTTGTGTTAAAGTCAAAAAAGATAAAGCTTATTTGAATACATACCGTAAATACTGTAATAGTACCCCACCCCCCTCGTACAGTCGCGTAGTCGCAGAAGTTTTTTTAGTATTTCATTTTTTTCAAAGTGCTCGTACTTTCAAAAAATGCGTCTTTGGTATCAAAAAATAGCTGAAATTCAGGGCTATTTTTTGATAATTGTATTGCTATTGTAGCATAAACCAGTGTCGAGAAAAACGCGTCCAAAGCTAGACTACGCAACACTCCGCACCGTCATTATGGGGCGTGGGGTACTATCACAGTATTTACGGTAAGTTTGTCAAATTTGAAAAACGATTCGTTCAGCGATTTTCTTTAAAACAAAGTGAAAATTTTACAAAAAAAATGTGTTTTTACTGAGTTAAGGTGAGCTTTGAGCTCTTTCTCTTAAAAGCCATTTAGAGTAGAGAAATGATAGATCTTTTCTAATAGTTTAAAACGCAACAAATTTCGTTCAAGCATTCTTTTTGATGGAAAGAAAAAACCAAAAAAACTTGCGCCAACCATCTCTAACACGATTAGTTTTAAACTATTAATGGAACTATCATCCACTAGTACTTCAAAAAGAAAATCTTTTTTTTTTAGATTATAGAACTTGGCTGCCTTTTCTCCACGAATTTGCAGAGAGCCCAAAATGTGGGAATTTTTGCCGATTCTACCTGGTCGGCAATAGTTTCAGCTTTTCAAATCTTTGAGGTATCAATTTTTGTTCTTGCACATTTAAAAAATCTAATCGACATTTATAAAAGTAATAATATTCAATTAGGGATTATTATTTTTTGAAGACAAATGAGCATATACTGTAGTAAGAGAAATGTCTAGATTTTTTTGACTTTCAAGACTTTCAACTCTGAATTCGGTTAGATTATTTGCATTGCTTACAGTGCAAATAATCTAACAGAATTCAGAGTTGAAAGTGAGTATAATACGGTATGAAAAGATGAAATGAAAAGAAATGAAAAGAAATGAAATAAAATCAAATAAAATCCAAAAAGCTTTTAGTTGCTGCGAGTCGTTTTGGCGCTTTTCGTTTACTTTGAGTCAAAATTCGCCGAACAACATGTGCAAGTTTTGCCATCAAGATTGCCAGAAGAGGAAAAATACGTGAAAGAGATCACCGCTCCTTGTCAACAATTAAACTATGCTTATAACGAGCAACAACAATTTTATGCTTAAAACTTTCAAAATCCTCCGTTGTAAACAGATTAGCCCTTTGTTTGTAGACTTTTTCAAATTTAAACCGCGGTCAGGGCCCAGAAGTGGCTCATTCCTTTTGCAAATTCCCTTTGCTTCCAATGCCTCTTTATCAAATTCATTTCCCGTTAGAGCCGCTAGATTATGGAACTTGCTCCCAAACGACATACGAGAAATTCAGTCGCTTTTCATATTCAAGAAACGTATCGATGCTTTAGATCTAGTGGCTCTTTGCCGTAAGTAATTGGCTTATTGATTTCAGTATGTATTGTATGATTAAGTATCACTGTGCATTTCTCTATGATTTCTTTCACTTTATCGTTTGAATAAAGTATTATTATTAAAAGAAAACCTCTCGAAAATCACATAACTTTTAAAGCTTTAATTATAATTTTTTTTTTTTTGATTAAATAAATACATTGAAATTTTGAAGTTTACATTAAAACATCACATCATAAATGAGAATAAATAAATGAAAGTAAATGAAAATAAATGAAATAACTCTAATCATTTCGATCGGTTATCCGAAAGAATCATTTCAGCAAAAAATTTCCAGCTTTGAGAGCTTTTTGAGAGCATTGTTCTTGCAATACTTTGTGGTAGAGTGTGCTCCTTGTTGACAGACAATTTGTCAGAAAAATTTGCATTAACAACTTTTTTTGTCAGACAATTGATCCGACAAACTTCCGGCAACGCGTTTTCTAAAAGGTGCGCTTTTTAAGCAAAACTATAAAGGCCGAGCGATAAAAATGTGCAAAATTTTCTTAGAATGTAGTAATGGATAGTTTTCCCATCGAGTCGGTGGGATTGCTGGAATCTTTGGAATTGTTTACTTGTATTTTATTTTTAAACAAAGCTAACAATATCATTATTTAGATATTAGAACTATTTCATCACTCTTCTTCTAGCTCCCATTGAAAGCACAGTAAATAACAATATTTCTTCATCCTTTTTTTTGTTGTTCAACGCTTTCTTTTCAAAATCTTGATCAATATGGGAATAGATTTAAAAAGTTTCGATTTTTTTTTTGCTCTAATGATCAATCCAAGATTATTCTGTTGATTTTCATAAAGAATAAGTGGCATTTTTCTGTTTGGATTCGAATGGCTCTTTCGGAGTCCCATTTCTTCCCCTCCGTTCTTACGCTAAATTACTACTTTTACAGACTTATACAGACATTTTTACAGCATTTTACAAATCCATCAAAGAAACGTTTATCTTAATGCTTTGCATAACTTTAGATTACCGTATTTTCTCTAATAGTAGTGCACCCTTTAATTTTTCTGATCTGAAAGTGCTCAAACTGGGAGATCTCGAGTCCTCGATTTTCGAGTCTCACACTTGTCTCACACACAAACCAAAATCCTACCACGAAAGAGGAATCCGCAAATTGCCTGTAAAATGGGCAGAAGTCGTCAATAATAATGGAAATTATTTGGAGTGAATTGATGATTTTTCTTTAAAAATGAATCTTTTTTACCTAGATTTTACACAAATTTAATGATTATTGATTGCAAAATTTCCAGATAATTATTGATTGAGTTCAATTTTATACCGTATTTTTTCTAATAGTAGTGCACCATGAGCGTCGCCTAGATTCCTCGAAATCTCGAGAAACACCTATCAGAACCTATCGATGTCGGGTCGGAAAATGTAACTGACGATGAGATCATGTGAGGGATTAGAGTGTTGAGCTTCTGTGAAAACTTTGAAAGCCGTAAAATAGTCATCAACTCGGCTCGCTGGGGTGCACTACTATAGAGAAAACTCGTTCTTGGTATATTAGAGTATCGTGGAACTTAGAAATTCCTGCGAAATCCCCGGCACCTGAAGATCCCATGGATTCTAACCATCAATCAGAAACCACAGATCATTTCTTCCAACCAATGAGACACTTATCATTGTCACCAAGATTATTATTAAAGTATTTCACTTCTTTCTAAGTCAAGGCTATCATGAAAACATTAGAGAACTTTTTTTTTTCTTGGTTTCAAATGTATTAATTTTCCAAAATCTAGTTGAACTTTTTCATGAAAAAGATGAATGATCTTCTTGACAGTCATCCCGACAAAACATCCAGTCAATTTCCTGGAAAAAAAATCGACTCACAAACTCTATATTTTCATTGAAAATTCACAAAAATGCCGTTTGATTGCTTAGAAGTAAACGCCAGCTATTCTATCTTTAAAATAACCTTTAGATCACTTATATTGTGATTGCTATACCATCATTGATCTTCAATTTGGCTCTTGTAATGCTCGGTGTGGTAACGATCGATGCGAGCACGTATTTCTTTTAAAACTTGCTTAGGAAATGCTTACGGTAACTATAAATCTATAAAATAGTCAAGTAACTTCTATTTGACACTAGCTGACCGATTAATAGGATTTGTCTGACCAAATGTTTAGACCGAATATTTAGACCAAATATTTAGACCGAATATTTAGACCGAATGAATATGTTCCGTTGGATTCGAGGATTTTCATTGTGATTAGTCCATTAGCTGGAATCTATCTTATTTTGGATCTCCTAGCGATTGTTGGCATTGTGCTTGGGAAAAAGAAATCTCTTTCAGCCTATCCTCATTGCTGGGGTGGTTTTGAAAATGGGAAAAAATGAGAAATCATTTCTAGATACTTTGTGTCAGTTTATTTTTGGTAATGTTAATTGTTAACTTGACGATTTGTTCCCAAGATTCCACAAAGGATTTTCGTTTTATTGTTCTTGTGCACGTGATTGCTGGCGGACTCTTCGTAACGTTTTGCTCTAGAAATTTCAATACTTTTTTGTCTTTTATGTTTCTTTACTTACATTTTACAGGATAGTAAAATCATTTACTATTCTTTTATCGAAAAAACTATAGTACTTTGAATAAAATTTTAAAGGTAAACAGAGAATTTTAGACTATTAAACTCGTTCTCGGCTTATTATTGCATGTGGAAGATCAAGAAAAAGAAGTTGATTTGGTGAAAGCGGTCGAAGAAGAGCTACAACCGGACAGTTTTCGACTCCAATCAATCAAGAAATAATTAAATTGCTTTTAATGAATTAATGGCAATGAATCTTGGAAACAGTAAAATTTTTAACGAATTTTGTCTCTTTTACTTACACAAGACGATCGATTAAAACAAATTGATTAAAACAAATCGAGCAAATCAAATTGATTAAAACAAATCGATTAAAACAAATCGAGCAAATCAAATTGATTAAAACAAATCGATTAAAACAAATTGATCAAACTCAAAGCCAATCTTAACTGAATACCTTAGACTAGACTGAATACCCTAATCTAGACCGAATACCGTAATCCAGCTAATCTTAACTGAATACCTTAATCTAGACTGAATACCATAATCTAGACTAATCGATTAAAACAAATCGATCAAAACAGATCGATCAAAGCAAATCGATCAAAACAAATCGCTCAAATCAAATCGATCAAATCAAATCGATCAAATCAAATCGTTCAAAACAAATTGATCAAATCAAATCGATCAAATCATCTCTCTTTATTCGATCAAATCACCATTATTCACCTTTTAAATCAAATTTTGTTGTAAAATAATTCCATAAAAACAATTCTCTGATAGCCAAATTCGTCGTTTTGGCAAATTTCATAGTTTTTAGCAATTCTGAATAAGCTTTGCATGAATTCTGAATGAGCTGAGCTTCTTTTCTTCTTTCTTTTAGACAATGTTCAATTTATTCCACATAGAAGAGTTGGATTATAACAAAAAAATATGGTAAATAACAATTGACTGGGTTCTTTGGATTAGAAAGAGAATGGGCTTTGACAGATCTGAAGGCCGAGAGAAAAGGCAATGATTCGATATTTGCGTATGATTTTCGAGAGAATCAGCCTCTTTCGGCCCATTCAGCGACACCTTTATTTTTCATATTTTGATAAATTTAAAAGTATGGCTTAAGCTAGTAGTTGATTTTTCAAAGCTTAAGCTGAACTTATCAAAATATCAAATGGATTTGCGAGTGTCATGAATGAAAAACCTCAAGCGATGGTTCAATCAAAACTATTTTATCTTATTTGAAAGTCTGGAGTCTATCAACTAAAGAAGAAGAAGTAGAAATTTAGTTTTTCTTGCTTTAGTTTTATCATTATCCTGAAACAAGTCCAACAGAGTATTCTCTTAAATGATTCAAAAGATATGCATCTTTTAGAGCTAGCGAGTAAGTGGAGAATGGTCAAGACTTTTGCTTACCGCAAATACTGTAATAGTACCCCACCCCCATAACGACGGTGCGGAGTGTTGCGTAGTCTAGCTTTGGACGAGTTTTTCTCGACACTGGTTTATGCTACAATAGCAATACAATTATCAAAAAATAGCCCTGACTTTCAGCTATTTTTTGATACCAAAGACGCATTTTTTGAAAGTAGGGGCGCTTTGAAAAAAAATGAAATACTAAAAAACTTTTGCGACTACGCGACTGTACGAGGCGGGTGGGGTACTATTACAGTATTTACGGTAGGTAGTTTTTTTGTAGACACAATTAGGAACCTTTTCCTTTTTTTTCAATCTTTGACGTAAAGCGAACTTTGAAATCAATCAAAAACCCTTCTTTCACTTTTGCGTTCTTTTAGCAGATGAACAAATAAATTTTTTTTGCAACTTTTGCCCAAACTTTTGCCAAACATTTCAAAAGGGTTTATTTTTTCACCTTTTAAATGAAATTTTGTTTTGAAATAATGCCAATAATGAAATAATACGAATAATGAAATAAAATCAATTTTTTTCTGAAATGCTTAAGGTTAAATTCGATTTGAAAAGCTATTTTTGATAAATCGATTTACTTTATCCATTTCTAAATTGTGTTTCAGATTTTCTATTCGCTTAATTGGCTTAATCGACTTGTTTTTTGGCTTTAAGCTTTTTTTTCTTTTAAAAAAAGATTGCTATGCAGAAAAATCTTGAAATCGCATGAGGTGAAGAGAGGAAATATATGAATGTGATATTGAGAAAGGGGGTAAAGGCTTTTGTTTGCATGAAAAGAGAGACGCCTTTCCCCCTCTCTTAAACGAACGTCTCGATTCGATTCGCCGATAAACCGTTTGCTTTATCGATACCCTCTTTGAATATTTTGAAATGATCTCAAAAATTCTCAAAAGATCTCTAAAATATTCTCCTTTTTTTTTTCTTATGATATTTATGAGAAATCTCGCAAAGAAAATTGACTTTTTTATTTAGCAATAAAGCGATTTTTGTTTTTTTTTGATTAGTTTAAGAATTTTTTCAACTCTATAACTTAAGAAATTGATTAAAATGATTTTAAATGATTCTATTAGTATTTGTTTTATCTTTCTTTCTTTTTCAAAACCTTCTAAGCTTATTGTGTTTGCTTTTCTGTTGTTGTTAAGTGTCAATAAATAAGGTTCACAAAGCTGGCAGATTAAAACCTTTTATTCAATATATAAGTAGACCAGTTCTCTCGCGGAAATTCTATTGTATTTGATGGAAAATCGAAATCACAAACCTTTTCGATGATCTCTTTTCTCTCATCTCGTTTTCGTCTTATCGCATCGAAATTTCTCAGTGCGGAGAAATTTGCATATGTTCTCTTATCATTTTCCCCTTCTTTTCCTCCTTTTTCCCGCAATTTGTGTTCACTTTAAATTAACACTTTCGATTTTGTTTCAATTTTGTTTCGAATTTTAAGAAATATATTGCTTTAGATTGATTGAAGAGATTGAAGATGACGTTGCTTGCGTTCACTTCTCGATCTTACAATCTACCAGTGGTGCCTGTGCAACGATACAACTCATTTCATGGAGATTCAAAGACAACAGCAACTGATGAACCTCTTTATGCAACACTTCGAAAAAAGAACAGTAAGCTTTCTTAGCAATAAGAGATACCGTAAATACTGTAATAGTACCCCACCCGCCTCGTACAGTCGCGTAGTCGGAAAAGTTTTTTCGTATTTCATTTTTTGCAAAGCGCCCGTACTTTCAAAAAATGCGTCTTTGGTATCAAAAAATAGCTGGAATTCAGGGCTATTTTTTGATAATTGTATTGCTATTGTAGCATAAACCAGTGTCGAGAAAAACTCGTTCAAAGCTAGACTACGCAACACTCCGCACCGTCATTATGGGGGTGGGGTACTATTACAATATTTACGGTAAGCAATTACTGTTTACAAAATTCTTATTGTTAACTATTCGATTTTAAATTTACTTTGAATATAAGAGAAAGTTTTTTGTTATTTTTCCTACAAGTTTTTTATTCTTTTGAGTTTTTGAGTTTTTTGAGTATTTAATTATTATGTTTGGTTTATGTTTATTTTCTTGCATTACTCGTGCATCTTGTTTACCCCGGATCTTAAAATTTTACCACCCCGGATACTCCACAAGTACCGTTATTTTTCCTACAAGTTTATTATTCTTTTGAGTTTTTGAATCTCTAGAGCTCAATCTCATACCTCAATATAATATAAAAAACAATTTTAAATACTAAATGCTTTCAAATTCTTCAAAAAAAAACGCTATTATTTAGTCTTAAATTCGGAATATTCTTTGATTATTATATACTTTTGATGATAAAACTTGTATCTTTCAGTAAAATAATGATGAATTTACGTCATTTTTAATCTTTTTCATCTTCTTTTCATCAAATTTCATCCAATTTCAGCCTTTCAAACGAATTTAAAGCGAAAAAAATAGAAAATTAGAAAAAAGAAGAGTTTGTTTTACCTAAAAAGATGATTCAAAAAGCGCAAAAGAAGAATTGTTTTCAATAGATACAAAAGAAATTTTCTAGCTTTCTAGAAAAATGTTAGTTTTCTTTTTTGACCAAAATGTGGAGAGATTTGGATTAGATGAAATCATCAATGATGACTCGACTTTTCGATCAAGATGACATTTCTACGTTTTCTTGATTCTCGATCATTCGGAGAAAAGCTAACACTAGAAAGATTTTCGGTTTTTATTTCAAAATTTTATATCTTTATTGAAATTTTAGTAAACTAAACGATTAAATTCAGAAAGTTTTCTAAAGAAATTTTGAGATTTTAACATAAACAAATTGATTGGCGTTGAATTATTGTTGTTGTTGTTGAAGTTATTGTTGACCTTATTGTTGTTGACGTTATTGTTGAAGTTGTTGTTGACGCACAACTTTTTCTTAAAGTTTTGCCTCAACTTTAACCCTTATCAATGCCTTAGTCTGTACTAGCTCTCAACTCTTTTTTAGGTTAATTAGTTTCTCGTTTTTTTTAGTTATAATCAATTTGAGAAATTTAGACAAGAAAAGTGACTGAATTTTGTTTGATTATTTAAACCTAAAGCTAACTAATAACTTGACATTAATAGCAATTTTATAACTAAAAAAAAACGATAAGTTTTGCATCAAATTTAACCCTTATCAATGCCTTAGTCTGTACTAGCTCTCAACTCTTTTTTAGGTTAATTAGTTTATCGTTTTTTTTTTAGTTATAAAATTGCTATTAATGTCAAGTTATTACAGTCATTCACAAAAGTCTTTTAACGTCCAGTTTCGCAAATTTCAAAGTGTAATAACTTTTTTTGCAAAGAGGCGAATTCCCAAACAGTTTTTGGTTTTCAGTTGTTAAAAATTTCTATTTTTATATGCAAGAAAAGCTTTATTGAAACGATTAACAAAAATTAAGAAAAACAAATAAAAACAAAAAACGGGCGTATTTTTGATGCTCAAAAGTCTTGTAACATTTGAAAAAAAAAACATAGAAATTATCAAATTTTTAATACTTCGTTGGTCCACCTTTAGCTTTGTTGACTTCCCGGATCCGCTTTGGCATTGAATCAACTAAATCGCGTAGAATTTGGGCTCCCAGGGATGACCAGGTACGGCGAATGAAGAACCAAATCTCTATCTTCGAGTTAAATCGCTTTCCCTCCGCTTTCCCACCCGCTATTAATGCCAAGTTATTAGTTAGCTTTAGGTTTAAATAATCAAACAAAATTCAATCACTTTTCTTGTCTAAATTTCTCAAATTGATTCAAGAAAAAGTTTTTCAAAGTGCTCAGTCGATTGGCTGAAAAAAATGATTAAATTTGAGAAGTTGTTAAATGGGAAAAGAAAGCAGTAAAATGGAGATACGAGGCAGAATGGGGAGCTTCTTATCATGGACTTCTTTCTCTTTTCCTTTTTCCTTTCCTTTCTCCTTTCAATCGGTGCTTTTCTTCAGCGTTTCTCTTTTCTCTTTTGTAGTTATCACTCTGAATCGAACTCTCTTTTTTATTTTTCTGGTCGATTTTTCTTCTATTCATGCATTATTCCTCTTTTTTTTTTTTGGTTTTGGTTCAAGGCTTTTATTGTTTAACGAATTTTTTGTAGCTAATCAAAGCTTCCAGATTATTTTCGTTTTTCTGCAAATTGAATTGATTTTTCTTTAAAATTAATCTTTTTTACCTAGATTTTACACAAATTTAATGATTATTGATTGCAAAATTTCCAGATAATTATTGATTGAGTTGAAATTTATACTGTATTTTCTCTAATAGTAGTGCACCCCGGCGAGCCGAGTTGGCGACTATTTTACGGCTTCGAAGCTTTTGTAGCAGCTCAACACTCAAATCCCCCACAAGATCTCATCGTCAGCTACATTTTCCGACCCCACATCGATAGGTTCTGATAAGCGGTTCTCGAGATTTCGAGGAATTTAGGCAAGGCTTTTGATGCACTAATAGAGAAAATACGGTATATGATTATTTCATTTAGCGTTTGATTGTTTCAAATTTAAATAAGTATAGTTTAATACCGTTTCAAAGCAAAGATAAAAGTGAAAAAATGAAATTTTCTTCCTAACGTGATGCTGGTCTTTTTTTATTGTACATATATCAAAAGTACAAATAAAAGCAAATACCCGATCTCGAGGTATTTGCCAGTTTTGGCAGCTCTTCACCATAGAAAGCGATACTCAAGGGAAAAAAGAATAGCGAATAGAGCTGTTGGCAATGAAAAAAGAAGAACCGGCCTTTTGTGTGTTGATGTTGATTGGGTGTTTGCAAGGTCTTTGCATTGGGCCTCTTTTCCAATCGAGCGAACCAGGCTCAGGTTTCTTCAACCACCTTAGGCCCAGAAACCACTAAACACTCCCAAAACTGGCAATAATATTATTCATTCGATTCATTTATCACTCCTCCATCTATTCATTTATCATTTTTAATGAAAACTTACGTATTTCAAGAAAATCTTGGTAGGAAAATCGAAAGGGAAAACGTTTCAATCGACCTTTTTTTCTAGATTCCCGCCAGCGCTACAGCTTAGCCATTTTGGACTCATCTACACTAAATGAAAGACGAAAAATGGCAATTTTAGCAAATAATAACAACTATGAGGCACCAAAAAAGGCGAAGTTTGTCAAAAAAAAAGTTACTACATTTTGAAGGATGTTTTTTAGGAATGATAAAATTTCGGAATTGTTGAACCAAGCAGAAATCGAGAGTGTCAAGCAATATCTTGGGCCACAGCTTTTGGTTTGATTTTTAATGTTTTAAAATCCCTAAAAAAACACACTTTAGTGCGTCGATTCGGGTGTTGTGCAATTGTTGCGAGTGGACGAGGAACAAGGGAAAGGGAAACATTGGACTTACATCAAGGTGCGGAGATTAAGATTGTTATTTTTGCTATAAAGCAGCAAAGATAAGAAGAGAATTTATTTTACAATGAGTAAAATCAGCTAAAGAATAAGAGCTAAAGAATAAGAGCTAAAGAATAAGAGCTAAAGAATAAGAGCTAAAGAATAAGAGCTAAAGAATATGAATTGGGTTTAGGTTGGAGTAATCGCGTATTGCCGAGAGAAACACGGTACTCCATCATTGAGACTTCTTGATCCAATCGAGGGCGAACGAGCGAGAGAACTTTGGCGAATGGATATGTTTGTGTTAAAACTTGTTCAGAAACAGTTCCTCAACAATTCCCGATTATTCCCTTTCACCTCAAAAACCATACATTAAAGAATGCGGCCAAATTTTGGCTTAAAAGCGTTTTTAAAGAAATCCGGTAAACAAATAGCCGTTTATGGAAGTCACACAGATCTTTGAAAGCTTAAAATATTAAAGTTTCTAAAAAAATCCAGCAATATTGAGCTATCCACTTTTTAGAAAAGAAGATTTCATGACTCAGCGCTCATCCAGTGAATACTTATTAACATTGGAGACAAGAGATGGAGACTTTATGGGCTTCAACTTCTCCGATGCTCAAGAGGCAAAATCTTTCCAGGACACTGTTCAGTCACAAAAAGACAGTAAGGATGGATATTTTCTAGATTTTCTATATTCTCTAGATTTTCTAGATTTTCTATATTTTATATTCCTTTTTCATATTCTGCATCATTGATAAGATAAGTTTTTTTTTTCAGAAAGAAGAAGAAAAACGAATCGCAACAGCTATATGGAGAATGCGATCGATGCTCCGCTAAGAGTAGCTCCACTTCCACCTGGGGTTTGTTTAAAAAACTAGCTCTTAATTCTTAAGGCTTTTATTTTTCGTTTATTTCATTTCTATTTTCAAATTTCAATTCTATATTCAGTCTTTGAGTGATTCAAATCGTTCTGACACATTTCCCTCCTCTATCACATCCGCGGGAATTCTTCCAACTCTAACAAAAGAAGAAAAAAAAACGAAAAAGAGTTGTAAGTTTAGAAAATGATTGTAAATTTTGTAAATTCAATAATTATCATTTAATAATTATCATTTAATTAAGCTCTTTTTCAAACAATCACTAACACTTTTCGTGGAAAAAAGAAAAAGAAGAGAGCTGCGTTGACCACTTCGGACATTGGAAATCCCACGAATTTTGAGTAAAAGTAAGAAAATTTGACTTTTATATTGCTTTTTTAGACATCGAGCGCATGTCGGAATGGAAAAATTAGATGCTGATGATCAGGAAACGGTGAAACAATTGGCTGAACAGTTGAAAGTCGATCGGAACAATGAGAAAGATATGCAAGTGCTCATTGACAACGTCGTTCGGAGGGGCGAAGCGATTCGACAAAGCATGAAAATGGTAAAAATAATCTAGTATTTTTAAAGGTGAATTACAAATAAATATCTATATCTAATTAAAAGACTCTTTACAGCCTCCAAAGAAAAAGGAAACGCAAAGCCTGCCCAAGTTTGAACCAATCACAGAAAAATCGCCACCATTGCCACAAAGTTCGTTCATTTCAATGGAAATCACATCTAATGATATAATATTAAATTTCGATTAGAAATTGATCTTTTTTTTATATTCCAGAGTTTCCGAAAGATCCATTAATGGATGTTTGGGCTGATGGAAACAGAACTACACCCTCGTACAGCTCCAACTTCGATTCTTCGCTTCAAAGGTAGAGATTCTTTGATTAGATTATTTGAATTTAATTCAGATCACCCGGTGGATCACTTGTTGATGCGAGAAATAGCATGTAAATTTCATTGAATAGTTTTTTCTAAAAACTTTTAGTAGAATGAATCCGAAAGGTGGATCGAGGAAGACTCCGCACATGATTAAACAAGCTAATCAACAAGCTAATCAACAAGCTAATCAACCTAAGGTTAGTCGAGAAAAAAATCGGAAACGAATTTGGAAAACTAGTTTAGATAACAAAATACTTTTTATAGAAAAAGATAGAACGGTTTGTTTCAAAAGGAATTTAGATTGTTGAACGAGCCGAAACAACCGCTTATCCATCCACTTCCACTCTCACTACCACAACGACAATCAACACCGTTTCTTCGTGGCAAGTATGGAAAAAAACTTTTTATAGATTTTGGCAACGGTTTCTCTAGATTAAATATAAGAAAAATCAAATGTGGTGCAGAAAAAAAAGGTTTTTATAGACTGCAAAAGATGATGTACCGCCACCACCAACACCACAACGCACCACAAGCCGCAGAGAATCACCCAAAGCACAACATGATAGGTATTGTTGCAATTTAAACATGAAAAAAGCCTTTCATTTATACTTCTATTAATTAACATTGTCATTTGTTTTACTCAAAACTTTAAGACCTCGTCTCTGGGATCGAACTCCACCCAAACACTCTCCTTCACAGTCGAAGCCGACTTTTGTTAAGGAGAAAATTGAGCACATGGTTTCTTTGATTATTTTTTTTCTTTGATTTCGATTAACAATAGTTTTCAGGTAAAGCCTGAGCCTTCCATTTCGAATGGTGCTTCAGTGGCTTCAATGGCTGCAGCTCCACCACCACCACCGCCTCTCGTATGTTCTCTGGATCAATATCCATCGATATCCACTGCTTCAACTAATTATAGAACCACGTTTTTTTTAGACTCAATAGCGACTTTTAAAAGAAATCAATGTAATTCAGCTTTGGCTAGTAGAAAATCTTTCTTTTAAAAGTTGCTAACCGTAGTGTTGCTTCATCCGCAAAAGTCAAAAAATGACACTTTAGCCCTTCAACTAATTTACAGAGCCACTTTTATAGAGCCACTTCAAAGCTATCAAGAAAAGTTTATAAGAAAAAGTAAATAATTTAAATGACAAATTAATAATCAATAGTCTCATCATTAAGTTTTATAACCTGGATAACTGATCTATGCTTGGATGAGTCTTCGAATCTATTCGATTGAAATTGTCAATCCCAATTCTCGTTTGATTTGGCGACATATGATTGTGCTGTTAGAAGTCGGTCGCGAAATTTGTCCTTTATCTCGGCCTGATTGTTCGTCCTGTTGTACGGAGTTCGTCCTGTTGTACGGAGTTCGTTCTGTTGTACGGAGTTCGTCCTGTTGTACGGAGTTCGTTCTGTTGTACGGAGTTCGTCCTGTTGTACGGAGTTCGTCCTGTTGTACGGAGTTCGTCCTGTTGTACGGAGTTCGTTCTGTTGTACGGAGTTCGTCCTGTTGTACGGAGTTCGTTCTGTTGTACGGAGTTCGTCCTGTTGTACGGAGTTCGTTCTGTTGTACGGAGTTCGTCCTGTTGATTTTCTAGTGCCATATCTAGCTGGATCAGTAATCTAACTTTCTAGTGCTGGATCAGTAATCTAACTGTCGATATGATGATGACTTTGATCCAAAAGTCAAGCAATGTCCAGATTACTCTTTCCAGCGTGTTTATATGCTTTGATTTGTCTTTTCTCGAGAGCGTTTTACCTCATGTCATTACTTAAAAATAACTTAATAAAGTAAAGTCAATAGAATTATAAATAAATGAAAAACGAGAAAAACAACTACAAAAAAAATTCGAGTGGCTCTATAATTAATAATATAATTAGTTGAAGCAGTGTGTACGTGTTCGACTAAACGTTCTAGTAAATGTAAAAGTAAACATTCTAGTATTTTGTGCTCTAGTAAACGTCACCCATCTAGCAGAAAACTTTAAAAAGAAACTCTTAAACTTTTGCTCTTTCAGCCAAGCAAAGTTGACTCAACAGCTCCTCCACCACCACCACCTTTACCAACTCTTCAGGTTTTTAAATCAAACAAACCATTGACTAACTTGTTTTAGGTCACCATAGCACCAAAAGAGAACAAGACAACAAAAGACGGCAATGGAGAGTCGGGACAACCGGCTGAACTCATGGCGGTTCGAAAATTTTGATAATTTACCTCTAGAATGCTAATCTCTAAAAACACTCCTTATCCTTATTCTAGGCAATTCGCAACTTTACCTCAACTGGCTTGAAACCAATCTCTTCATTATCACCACAAACAGACCGTGAATCCCCTCAACCATCGATTCAATCACCCGGTGACTCAATCTTGATGTCGATTCAAATGGAGCTTGAGAAGCGACGAGTCCATATCTCTGATTCAGAAACAGAATGTGAAGGTAAGGCTTGCAAAATAGGCAAATATTCAAGTTTAAACAAGTTTTTAAACAAGTTTACTTCTTAGACGAGTAGGGGAATATTGACAAAATGGCAATCATTTTCAGATGATTCGTCAAGCGATTCCGATTGGAAGTAAAAACAATTTCATATGCACATTCCTTGTATTCTTTTCGAAATATTATAATATATCTACCGTAAATACTGTAATAGTACCCCACCCCCCTCGTAGTCGCAAACGTTTTTTCGTATTTCATTTTTTTCAAAGCGCCCGTACTTTCAAAAAATGCGTCTTTGGAATCAAAAAATAGCTGAAATTCAGGGCTATTTTTTGATAATTGTATTGCTATTATAGCATAAACCAGTATCGAGAAAAACTCGTTCAATGCTAGACTACGCAACACACCGCACCGTCATTATGGGGGTGGGGTACTATTACAGTATTTACGGTATGTGCCTAGTGCCTTGAATCTAGTCAATTTCATTTTACCCAAAAGAAATCTGCCTTTAGCTTCCCAGAATATTTGTGATCAAATAGCTCAGATGTTTGATTTTTGGTAATAAAGACTTTATAGTGACGTTTGGTATTTGAAAACTGGAGTGTTTTCCTCAAAATGAAATGGGTTTTTTTAAAAAGCACACTTAGAAAAAATTACCGTATTTTTAGCGAAAATTACTGCAAAAAATTGGGGCAAAAAATAAAAATCACGAGAGCCGCCTTATATACATACAGTACTGAACAATGAAATATCATATTTTTGAAAAACGATCGTCACTTTCGCGCGCACTGAAATGCGTCAAAAAATACGGTGTTTCTAAATATTAATATTACCATTGTGTAGCGCTTGAAAAGAGCTTTCAGAAAATGTATAACACTAATAGTTTATGCTCAAAGACAAGGAAGTTACAGACGTGCGAACGTGACGATCGTTTTTCAAATATCATATTTCATTGTCCAGTACTGTGGATACTTTATTCAGGACCTGAGATAAAGTGCGCTAGATTTAAGATTAAAACACATGAATTCATACACATAACACGAAAAGGGCCGATAAAAAGCAACACGAAAATATCATATTTGAAAAAAAGATCGTCACTTTCGCGCGCCTGTAACTCCATTGTCTTTACCGTATTTCTAAATATTAATATTACCATTGTGTAGCCCTTGAAAAGAGCTTTCGGAAAATGTATAACACTAATAGTTTAAACTCAAAGACAAGGGAGTTACAGACGCGCGAAAGTGACGATCATTTTTCAAATATGATATTTCATTGTCCAGTACTGTACGAGTCTTTTTAAAGATATTCAGCTGTTTAACTGATTTGGTGGGAAATTCTTCGTCACAAGTAAAGATATTCAATTTACTCGACGTGTAAAGAGGATTTACTCGTAGTTACTCGACGAAAAAACGTCGATTAATCGAGTAAAGTTTACTGATGCAAATTTTACTCGAATAATTACTTACTCGCGAGGAACACACTCTACATAAAACACTCTACATGTATAAAAGGCTGTTACCCGAGTTTCTGTTTCTTTACTTTACTCGTTTCTGTTACAATAAAAAGAAGACTAAAAACATATAGAAAATTTCATTTTGATATTCATTTTGTTCAATATTCATTTTGAAAAAGAAGATAAATGATAGAAAGTTAGTCAGTCAGTCTTTCTCTTTCTTATCTTTTTTTTCTGGCTGAATTTTGAGCGTAAATGATTAAGCCTTTGTGAATAAATGTTGAGGCCGTCTTAAGGTGTCAATATGAGTGTGTATGTGCACTAGTTTTTAATAAAAAAAAATAAACTAATTAAATGGAGAAGTGCGTGTAGTTAGCCTTGCATTTCAGCTGGACAATTGGGAAAAACTTGGGTCTGTCAGCTCCGAGCCAAACTGATATTTTAGTTACTATTGTTATTATTGAATGATTTGTCTATTCTTATGCAAATGTGTCCTCCCCTGTGCTTATCCCTTTTATTGCCGAGAAGGGGCGGTCCTTGGGATTGCCTAGGAGGACAAGTTGGGATTGCTTAGGAGGACAAGCTGGGATTGCCTATGAGGACAAGTTGGGATTGCCTAGAGGACAAGTTGGGATTGCCTAGGAGGACAAGTGAGACTCTCATTTGGAGTCCCCCCTTCCCCTTACACTCATTTGTACTCTATTCGTCTTATTATGCTACTGTAAATAAAGATACATATCTTCCGGGTCTATGCAACTGCAGTACAGGTCGGTCATTTCACAGGGACTCCCCTCTAATACGTTGGAGGAGTTGAGTTGGGTTGTCGGGGTGTTAGAGATGGCGGGATATCAAAAGGGATCCACTCTCTTTAACTTAACCCAAATTCTAGTCCACATCCGTTTATACCTAGGAACGAATAGGTCAACAAAAAAGTCCTTTTCTAGCAGTTATTCAATAGGCGTTAAGGTGTTAACAATAAAGATCAGAATATTTTTAATATTTTTAAAGTCTTAAAGATGTTTACCCAGGTTGTCTTCACTAATTTTTTTTGGATTTTTTTGAAGTTTTCTTGATTCATCGCATTTCGTTTATAACCAGGAAAACAAAACAGAAAAAACATTTTTGATCTTTATTTTTTTTTCTCTACTTTCCGATAAACGAGCAAGAATCAGTGCAACAGATTGCTTTGTTGTTGATGCAACCAGTCGTGCGAACATTCGGAAGTGTTGCTCCAAAGCAACAATGCTCAAGAGCCTCGCCGGTGTTTGATGGCTGGAAATTTGAAGGTTTTTCAAGTTGTTTAGTTTTCTGTTTGATTTGAAAATGTAAAAATACTGTAAAATGTATCATCAGTATCTTTACATTTTCAATGTAAAGATACTGCATAAAAACTGTACAATGCTAAACTGCTTCGATTTCTCCTATTGGCTTGTACATTTTAAAGCCTAGTACACCCTCAGTAAAGTGCAGTAGATGGTCGACAACGGACAACAACTTAAACTAAATAAAACTAAATAAAACTAAATAAAACTAAGGGTTAAATTTAAATAAATGTCTTATTGACAGTTAAGTTTAACTTTAAGTGTCTAATTTAGTAACCGAAACTTTACTGTCCAGTTAATTTAACAATGAAAAGTCCAAATTCAAAGAATCAAGCTCAGATTTTAGCTTGTGTTTCAAGTTTTAGTTTTCTGTTTGATTTTTCGTTAGTGTTACTCCAAAGCAACAATGCCAAAGAGCATCAAGAGCAACAATGCTCAAGAGCAGTTTGATGGCTGAAAATTTGAAGGTGTTTCAAGTTGTTTAGTTTTCTGTTTTCTTTGAAAATGTAAAAATACTGTAAGATACATAAAGTCTGTACAATGCTAAACTGCTTCTATTTCTCCTATTTGCTTGTACATTTTAGAATTTGTACATTCTCCTATTGACTTGTACATTTTAGAATTTGTACATTCTCCTATTGACTTGTACATTTTAGAATCTGTACATTCTCCTATTGACTTGTACATTTTAGAATCTGTACATTCTCCTATTGACTTGTACATTTTAGAATCTGTACATTCTCCTATTGACTTGTACATTCTTCTATTTGCTTGTACATTTTACCAAATGACATTATGTAATTCGTTTCTGATATTCAACTAAAGAACTTACACAAAAGGAATCGCATGCAGGAAAATAGCCATCATTTGATGAGGGAGCTGTGGATGAGAAACCTAAAACTCTTTTCAATCTTCTTTTTTACTTTTTAAACTTACTAAAGAAAAGTAAAAAGATTTGAGCGCTAAAGAAAAAGAAATATTGCATTTTCTTTGAAAACTTTAAGATCCTTTAAGTTATCAACGCTTTTATAACGCTTTTTATAAACATAAAAACATAAAATCTTGGTAAAAGCATTTCTTTGAGATCAAGTGTAAAAAACTTTTCAAAAATTCCTTAAAAAGCAAACAGTATCTACTTTTTTTTTGAGTTTTATACCTGTGCAAACATTTTTTTGCCTTTTAGTGCCCATATCTAGGAAAGGTTTCAAGAATGGAGTCGAGTCTCATCAAATTCATTTGTGTTTTGAAAAATTAAAGACAACAATTAAAAGGAGAGGCGACAAGAAATCGATGCTGGCAAGCGTCCTGTTTCCCTTTTCCCCTTTACACTTTGTAGATTTTCTCGCCACCCAATAAGCCATACGCAAAAACTAACTTTGTGTCAATATGTAACCCCTGAGGCAAAAACAATTCTGAAACCACGATATGCTATCAAAAATCAGCGCAAAAAAGTTTCAGGTACGCCAAGTGAGCCACTTTTTTTTATGGACAACTGAAAATTCAGAGAAGGGGACACTCGAAAACTGTATGCAATGTATTAGGTTGTCCAATGAGTAATGCGTGTTTTGACACGATTTTCAAAATATCACAAAATTAACAAAAGAGAACTTTATTAATCGATATATTCTCCACAAAAATCAACAACATTTCTCCATCGTCCGAGCAAAGAGTGAAGTCCGTCATAATAGCATGAAGCTGGTTTCGATGAGAAGAAATCGTCGAGCCATTTTTGCACCTCGTCAACACTTTTGACTCGTTTCCGTCCGCAAATCGTTTAAACCAGCGCTGGCACTGGCTGATTGAAATTGAATCCTCTCCAAATGCGGCACAGATAGTTCGATGGCAATCCGCTGCAGTTTTACCTCGTTTGAAATCATACAGCATTGATGCGCGGACAACAAACTTTTTGCCTTTCATCTGCAAAACAACATATCTATTATAAAACAAAGGCAAATGAATAAAATAATATATAAAAATAAACACAAGATGCTGATGATTAAAAAGAGCATATATTTGCTCGAAGCGATTTCGCAATAGTTTCGAAATAAGTAACACGCATTACTTATTGGACAACCTAATAAAAGCCGGCGCTTCTTGCACAGAAAAGTGAAAATATTCAGTTAACTAAATAAATAGGTTTAAGCTGGCTTGATAAGGTATAAAATAATGCTAATTATATGTAATTTCAGTCAGAGATGAATAGTAAAAAGCAAAAAAAGAATGTCATCGATGTTCCGAAAAGCCATTAGCTTCGTTAGAAATTATTAGATTGGCAACTTGTTTTGCATTGTTTTTTCGATATTTTTCCATTTACAAAATGAACATTACAATTCCGAATGTCAAGAAGATAAGAAAAAGATTAGCGCAGAAATTTTGAAACCCGTGCCCTGTAATTTTTATGAATTGTGGTTCTTGAAAAGCACCCGAACTCTTGCAATATTTAAGTAATTTTTTTTTTGTTTTGCAAAATACTGCTATTTGTGAATCCAGACCCTGATCTTTATAAACTCTGGCTTTTTCTTTGAAAATTTCTCAAAAGCACTCAAACTCTCGCTATATTTACCTAATGGAATCCAATTTCCCATTAGACTTTCATTCAAAAGCACAAATCAATTTCAATGTGATGGTTTTGCGAGCTCTTGGCTATTTTCAAGATAGTGACATTGTTACATTCAGAAAAAAGTTCGTGACTTTTCTTTGGATTCTTTGAATTGGTTGTGTTTAGCTGTTGGAGTATGAAATGTCGAAAGCCGGGAATCGATGTTGAATTTTTGGTGGCCGCATTGAAATTGGCAGGACTTGAGGCTGAGGTTCTTTTCAATTGATATGCACCGTATTTTCTCTAATAGTAGTGCACCCCGGCGAGCCGAGTTGGTGACTATTTTACGGTTTCGAAGCTTTTCCCAGAAGCTCAACACTCTAATCCCCCACTAGATCTCATCGTCAGCTACATTTTCCGAACCCACATCGATAGGTTCTGATAAGCGGTTCTCGAGATTTCGAGGAATCTAGGCGACGCTTTGGATGCACTAATAGAGAAAGTACGGTAATTACCGTCTTCTCTCTAATAGTGTACGCCGCCGAGCCGAGTTGATGACTATTTTACGGTTTCCAAGCTTTTCCCAGAAGCTCAACACTCAGATCCCCCACTAGATCTCATCGTCAGCTACATTTCCCGACCCCACATCGATAGGTTCTGATAAGCGCTTTTCGAGATTTCGAGCAATTTAAGCGACGCTCATGGTGCACTACTATTAGAGAAAATACGGTAAATTGTTCACAAAAATCCTATCGGATAAACCGAAAAAAAAATGAAACCATTTTCATTTCAATTTACATATCTTAACGAACAAAAAATAGATGATATGTTTTGTATAATGTGATTGAGAAGGGGTTAATCTACGGAGAAAGGTACTTTCTTTTTGTCCCCAAAAAACCCCTGATTGTTATTGTTATTGAAATGAAATCTAGCGTAATATTTCTAATGGAAACACATGTGCTTCTATTTTTCAATCTCCCAGAATCGGCCGACTTAAAAAGTAGGTAAGGGGAGATCATATGAATTAAAAATTGATTAAAAACTATGTTAATTGATAGGGTCTGGCCCAAAATCTACAAAAAGCGTGTTTCCAGATCAAAGTTTTTCCCTTCAAAATTTCATTAATAATTCGGTTCTTTTCCGTTGATTATTTTTTCCTTTTCCATCTTTTCCCTTGATCATTTCCGTTATACATCCGCAAAAATAACCCCCTGAACATTTAAGAAACAAAAATCGATCAATTTAATCGAAATTAAAAATAAAACATCAAAATAAGATCAATGAGGAATCGATACCGTAGCAATTTGTTGCAATGAGGAGCTTCTTGCAGCACTTGCAACACCCATTTGTAGAAATCGTCCTTTCCTCACTTCTTGTCGGACCATGAATTCCGACATGAATGTCGGACATCAATGCGACTCCATCAATGAGCCAACACGTAGGCCGATCGCTGTCCGGCACGACGTTTTGTCACATCTCCATCGGGGATTCTGATTAAGCGATAGCTTCATAAAGTGATGGTTGGCGCATGTGCGAGTAGTAAGCAAGATGCGGCGTTGTTGAAAGAACGAGATTGCATCGATCTCGGTAGTCGGTAAGCGAAACATGAATCCACCGCGGCGTCAGAAAATAGCAAAAGAATGAATTTTCTGTGGTTTCCCTTATTCATTTGAGGTGCTAGCAAAAGCGTCGCATTTTTTTCGTCAAAATCCTTTACACCACGTTTCATTTGCGCCAAATTTGCACTTATGAAAATCACCGTAAAAAATCACTTTTTTTTTCCCAACTTCTAACCAATTTTTTTCAGTTTTTTGCTTCACAATTTTAGTTCTCACGGTTTTTAATTAAAAAACACGTTTAAATACCTATAGAGATCTCTAAAAATAGTAATTTTTGTGTTCCCGATTAAGCTTTTTACTTTCTATATCGATCTTATGCCATTTTTAGAGCCGATGAAGGCGGCAAAAAAGGGAGCATAGTCGACGAAGAAAAAATGAAAAAAATCTAAATGATCAATCAGAGTTGATAGGAAAGTGTGTTGAAAAGCGCAAATTTGGCGCAAATGATACGTGGCGCAAATAATTTGGCGCTTTTGCTAGCTTCATTTTCATGGAAAGATGCAAATTTTGCGGAGTATATAAATACTTTATTCAGAAAGAAATAAAGTGCGAAAACGACATGAAAAATGTACTAGATAAAAGATCACAAAGTCACTTAAAATGCAACGAAATAGCAATGCAAATTTTGCGGATGTATAACGGAAAAGAACCGATGATTCTTCCAAAAGAATCCATGTGGTAACCCAAAAAAAAATAGTTTTTTTGAAAACCATGTTTTTAATTTCACTGCCGATGGTATATTAGAAAGTTTTACGGCTCTTTTTTTTATCTAATACGGTTCCAATACGGTTCCGATACGGTTCTTGTTTTGATCTAATACGGTTCCTATTTTGATCTAATACGGTTCCAATACGGTTCCAATACGGTTCCTATTTTGATCTAATACGGTTCCAATAGGGTTCAAATACGGTTCCAATACGGTTCCTATTTTGATCCAATACTAGATCTCTCCATAGAGGGGTCAGTGAGGTCATGGAGGTCATGGAGAGTTTAAAGTCAAGATTTTGAAAGATTTTGAAAGATTTCGAGGGATCTGGATTGTTGCTTCTATTAGAATAAATATGATAGTAGATTTTGAAAGTGCACAGATTTTGGCTCTGTCAATTTATAAAAAAGATGAAAACAATCGAAATGACTAGGTGATTCCGTTTGATTTTTCGGCTGTGGATGCCATCGAAATGATCGCAAATGGGAGTGCCGATTTGACCGTTCACGCAATCGTTCAAAATGCCGAACGATTTGCAAAGGTTTTGGATTTACTTTTTAAAAAATGATCCCCCAAAAAAAGATCCCCAAAAATGATTACCGTAAATACTGTAATAGTACCCCACCCCCTCGTACAGTCGCGTAGTCGCAAACGTTTTTTCGTATTTAATTTTTTTCAAAGCGCTCGTACTTTCAAAAAATGCGTCTTTGTATCAAAAAATAGCTAAAATTCAGGGCTATTTTTTGATAATTGTATTGCTATTGTAGCGTAAACCAGTGTCGAGAAAAACTCGTTCAAAGCTAGACTACGCAACACTCCCGCGCCGTCATTATGGGGATGGGGTACTATTACAGTATTTACGGTAGGTTGATTTCACGTTTCCCATCAATTACATCGTTTATGGTTATGTGGTAATGGAAGATCAAAATTTCGAAGTAAGTAAGAATGGAAAGTTTTCTTTTTTTCTCAAACATTTTCAGGTCAATGATTTCATTCTACACTCACTGCATCTCGAAGTGATTTTTCTGTTGTTATTCGGGATTTTTTTAAGGTAAAATCTAAAAGCGATTATTATTCTATTAATAGTTCGGTTTTGACGTGGATCTTCTCAAAAAGAAAGC